AAAACTAGTTATTGCTAGAAAAGCTGCTGCATGAATGTCACTAAGGACAATTATAATGGAGTCACCTCAAACAGATGAAAGTGGCTCAACAGTTTCACCTTAATAAGAAATCCCAATCCAGAACACAACCAGAGAAGTACGACTCACAAAAGGGTTTCAAACATGGCAGATAATTTCCCACTTGCTGACTGCCTGAAAGAAGTACACAGGCAAAAGCAACTGAGCTACCATCTAAAGAAAAGCTCAAGGCAAGCTCCTTACAAGGAAAAAATCTCACATTTCTATAACGCCAAAAGATATATCTAAGCCTCAGTTGATAACCCATTTATTTCGAGCATAGTGGAAAAAACTCAGAACAAAATTTGCCCCTCGTAGGTTATAATGGCATTTGGCCTGGACAGAGAATGTCAGCGATCACACAAACCAAAAGGAAAGCCAGAAATGGAAGCCAAGATTCTCAGTCCCCACTGGCTCCAGACACACGTCATGTTTCCATAACATCTTCCTCTTTGTTACTGTGAATAGCCACATGGTAGAAGCTACTTCCCAACATTACTTTAGTAGCTAAAAAATTCTATTAAGGCCAAAGAAAGAAATCTTTCTAATTCTTTCTAACTATATTGAGAAAATATGAAAATCAAGAAAAATCCCTCCAGCTACAACCACGTAAGCAGTCACACATTACAATCTTAAATTATGGACTCCAAAGAAAACTCTGCTTGTAATTCCTTACTAGCCAAGAAAGTTTCCTAATACTCAGAACCTCAAATACCTGCATGTGTGAGAACTTCCCAATTCACAAGATTCACCTGTACCACACTGATAAGGAGCAGCATAGTTATTCATACTGTGTTTAAACGTTCAGCACTGAAAATAGCTTTTGATATCCTAAGTCTTTGAAGTTGGTCCCACAGGTCTGGGGGTCATATGCCCTTGCTAATGGGCACATTACTGGTCATGACACCATCTTATTCTATACTTAACAGCAATTAAAATGCAACAGTAGCTTTTAAATAGCCACTTAAAAGTAAGCTACATTTAAAACCTGATTTTTATAATGCTCTATTCATCTACGTGGTAAACACAAGATCCTAGCCAGGCGTTGGTGGCCTGTAAACCTAGCTACTAGGGAGGCAGAGATCGGGAGGATGAGGTTCAAAGTTAACCTCAGGCACATAGTTCTTGAGACCCTATCTTGAAAATACCAAACACCAAAAAGGGCTGGCAGAGTGGCTCAAGTGGTAGAGCACCTGCCTAGCAAGTGTGAGGCCGTGAGTTCAAACCCCAGGACTGTAAAATAAAACACACACACACAAAATTCTAACATGAAATTAAGTTGTTCACTTTATCTTTTTCTTAAGGAAACAAAAAACAAGAACATTTCTTGGAAAAACATTAACTATAATATTGTTTCTTCTCCTTTATTCAAATATATTTCCAGCTACACAGAATCCTAATCAAGGCCAACAGTTAAATGAATGTTTGATCAAAAATGGTTAGGCTATCAAAACCGAGTACATGAAAACTTTTCAGAATGTGGAAGTCACAGAAATTTATCTAAAACCACCATCCTCAGTTCTCTAGTGCCAGCAGTTTTGCCATCCATCTCCCACACCCAACAGGCCACAACCTAACAATAAAAGGACATCGGTGCTATTTATCTAATCACATAGGGGCTTGTACAAGATACCAGCAACTCTTCAACCAAACTCCTCCACTATGATCTCTCAGTCACAACCACTTCCACACTCACCTTTACCTCCAAGGGAGGGAAAAAACAGGCCTATACCTGGAAGTCATCAGTCTTCCCATTCTGTATCTTTTCCACTTGGAACCGAAAGTGCAACAGTGGTACCCAATGCAATCTCTTTCCCTCTACCGGATACAGGGGAATTCAAGTTCCCCTGCTACCATAATCTCCAACTGAGAAAGATCTGAATGCAGAAAAGCCACATTCCTTCCACATTCCCTGCAACTAAGCTTGGTCTGAACCAAACTCAACAATATCTTTTCCTGGAAGGGTCCCGCCCAGCTCAGCTTGCAGTCAGAGCTGGGACAGCCTGTAAAGCACCCAGTCACCTCCTGGGCCAGCTCCCTAGTTCAGTCAGTACAAGCCCATTCATCCATCACAGAGTGCTGCCATAAGCGTTCTCCAGCACAAGGTTCCCAACATGCCTTGCACAGCAGGTATAAAGGTCACTGCTGCACAAGTGGGCATGCCTGCTTCAGATGTCCTCATTATAATGGAATGAAATGAAATGACTAAAGAACTCCACCCTTGAAGTCCAGCAGGCTACCTTGGCAATCAAGTGATCTGACTGATCTGTGACAATCAACTCACTATCAAAGCAACCCCCACCAGTGCCAACTCTTACTTAACCTTGCCATATGGTCCCCAGGGTGCCTTCTTGGCCCTCTTCCAGAGTCTATGCAGATGGTGAAACAGTCCAGATATGGAAAACTACATCATAGCTTCAAGGTTCAATTAAAATTGTAATACAGACTTCCAATAAATTTCCCAGGTCAGAGAAAAAAGACTCTACTAGTGGCTCATGACTGTAATCCCAACAACTTTGGAAGCAGATATCAGCAGTATCTCGGTTCAAGATCAGGACAAAAAGTTATCAAGACCATCTCAACAAAAAACCAGGTGTGGTAGTGCATGTCCCTGTAATTCCAGCTATGAGAGAGGAATAGGTAGGACTGCAGTCCCAGGCTGGCCTGGGCAAAAATGTGCCTATTTGAAAAAATAATTAAAGCAAAAAGGGCCAGGGGCATTGCTCAAGTGGACAGCACTTGCCTAGCAAGCACAAGGCCCTGAGTGCAAGCTCTAGTATCACCAAAAAAGATAATTCAGTATCAGGAATGAATTTATAGTATTCAATTGTTCTCTCAACTCACAAGAAAAAAAAATGGTCTCCAATGTAGTCAGTTCTGTTTATTAGTAAGATAGTCTTTAAAATCCTAAGCATTTTGCTAGTAAAAAAAAAAAAAGCCTAAAATTTTAATCTATATTGTTAGTAAAGAAACTTCCAGTGATAAATATTTGCTGCTGTTATTATGTTTTGGTTTCTATGATTTCCAAATGAATTCTTGTTCATTATAAAGTTAACAGTAACTAAACATGCTTTTAGGCTGGCCAAAAAAGCCTTTTAGAATAAATCAAGCAGTCCTTAGCAGACAATGTTTCTAATTTAATTCTTTACACATGGGGAGAAATTAACACCAGGTTGGAAAGGAAAAGCAGAAGGTAAAACAAATTATATGCAAGTCAATAAATTAACCCTAATAATGCAAGACATTTAATGTTTTAAATTTAGAAACTCTCAAATGTTAAAAAAAAAAAATGCCACTCCTTCAAATGCAAGCAGTTGCTTGACTTTAATACAACATTTCATGAAAACTTAAGGGTTAGGGATATGACTGGGTGGTAGAGTGGCTGTTAGCTTGCTTGAGGCTCTGGGATTGATCTCCAACATCGAATAAACAAACAAAATGACTGAAATTTTAACACATGCTGACTAAACATGAAACCAGTTAGAATTTGCAGAATGTGTTTTGTTTTTTCCAAGGTAGCCAATTCACAGACCCCTAAACTTTATTACAAGGGTACAGGACTTCTCCCTCAATTTTTGAATTCCTGTGAAACTAAGACCAATTTAGATACATTTCAGTATGCATTTATTATTTAGAAGATTTTTTTTTTTTAAAAAGCTGCATTTTAAAAACAGAAAAAAAAAAAAAAAGGATTGTATTCTACTATATGAAATAACTTGGCCCCTACCAAAATTCCCAACTAGAACTGAATCAAGTCTCTTGAATTTCTTCCCAATTACTCCAAGGAAGAGAAACCCACAAAAATCAAAATGAACTCATTCTTAAGAACAAGATCTGTGAAATGCTTCATCTGAAAGAGAGCTGATGTAGAAACAGACACACAGATGACATTTTTTTGTTGCCAACTATCTCTGCAGAGCAAACCCTTCCTGACTTCCAGAACACATAGTCTCACCAATACTTAACCAGATACACACAGCCCTGGTTTGAATTAACTTCAAGCTATTGTTTGGCCCAGTTTGGGAGTGGGGGGATGGGAAGGGGAAGACAGAAACCCTAATCTCACCTTGCAAAATACAGAAGTGCACAGGCCAACCCCAGCGCCACTGGGAGGGACCAGCACCTTTCCAGTCAAAGTTGCAAAGCCAGGAACTGGCCTGCGCTAGGAAAAATGAGCCATTTACCCAAAATACTTCAGTGGCTAAAACAGTCTGTAAATATTTTGTAAAGTGACACACTACATATGCTCTCCGAGGAAAGAAATTCCACCGCTGAAGTAGCACAAGTCTTCCACTCTCCCTCTTGGTTATTTGTAAGCAAAATATACCAAGGGGCGGAGGAGCACGGACAAAGGTGGTGTTTGCAGAAACCAGCACAACTTTGCAGTGAGTGAAAGGCACTTCTGGGCTGGAGAAGCCCAAGTCATTCACTCCAGTATCCCAATACCCTTCAAGTGAGCAGGGTAAAGAAAGGCAAATTCCTTCCCTCTCAGAAGCACACACCACTGCAAACCAACCCCAAGCATGGACAGGCCACCACACCAGCCTATCCTGGACCTACATGTGTGGGGGACGATTCACGGCTTACTAAACCTTGCAGATTCCCAAAGACGGCTCTTTGAGACTTTGATTTCCTGTTGTGGCAACTTGACCTGCTCTGCAGAGAACATTTAGCTGCGAGAGCTTCCTTGACAGACTTTTTATAACCAGTAACAATAATCCTGCAGCAGGAGCCAGACAAGCCAGCTCTCTCCACTCCTTCCCAAAATTAGCAACACACACACACACACACACACCCGCCATAAATTTAAATGCAAGGGGAAAGGACGAGAAACGCCAAGCCATACTGCAGTCCCATAAAGAGTAAGATGAAGAGAAGTTATTCTCAGCTGTGCTGAGTCTTTCCTCCCATTAATGGAGTGAGAAAGGAATGAATTAGCTCACCTTTGCCTTTTAGGGACCGAGTGCTCAACTTCTATGGGTTTCCCGTGCAGTTCCATTTTACCTGTGGACACACAAGAAGTGAGCCGATCAGCCGTATTCAGCGGCTCTCCCTGCCCTAAGACCTGCTCAGCTTAAAGAAGCGACACAAATGGCTCTTGAGACCCCAGAAGGCCCCCCTAGGCCTGGATGCAGCGCAAGGCCAGGGCACCGCTGAAGAGGTGACCCCCCTCTCAGGCGGGTGTGGGGTTTTAACTTACAGAAGCTTGAGGAGGGAGAGAACTGTCGGATTCACTACTTGGGTAACATTCTAGACACCCCCCCAACGCAGCCTCTCCCGCCCGCCTCGAGGCGGGAGGTTGGGAGACCCAATCCAACAAGTCCCGCGATTGGGGCAGTCCGCACAGGACAAAGTCAGGAGAAAGGACGTCCAGGCCCTTTTTGCTGGCTCAAGCTCGGACCCGCCGGGAACACTTGGCGGTGCGGTTGGATCAGAAGACAGGGAGTGGCCAGGAAAGAATCGGGGACAGCAGGCGAGACGAAGAGTGAAACGCCAGAGGTGCAGGTCAGCAGACTGAAGCAGGCGTCCCGGACGACGGGGAAGCTGACCGGCACGGCGACCCCAGCGTCCTCTAGGGCGGCCCGACTCCCAGCCACCCGGAGGCCGCAGCCCCGCGGTGGGACAGCGCCGTGGAAGCGGCTGTGTCTGGGGACAGGGTGGCCGCCTCCGCCCACCTGCCCCTTTAGCTCGTCGGGCCGGGAGAGGCTGAGCAGGGAAACAGGGCGCACTCGCTCCTCTCCAGCAAGCAGGGTGCAAAGGTACCGGCCCCGCGGCCTCCCTCGACTGCGGGGCTGGAGCCACTTTCTGTTCTCCACGGCTGGGAGACAGCGAGGCCAGCGCCGTAAATAATGACCAGGGGACAGCAGGAAGGAAGGAGGGACGGGCGGGCGTTCGCGCTCGGCCCCCGCGGCCCGGCGTACCGGGGCCTGGATGGAGCACGCGCCTGGGCCCGGGCGGGGCGCCTCCCGCAAGCCCCGCGCCCTCTGCGCCCGCGCCCGGGCGTTCTTGACAGCGCGTCCGCCCTCGCCCCGCAAGCCCGGCCCGCGGGGAGCCGAGCGGCCGAGCCTGAGTCGCGGCTGAAGCTGCGGGCGCCGCCGACCCCACGCACGCGAGAGCGCGGGCCTCACCGCCGCTCCGCGCCCGCGCACGGCCTGGGGCCCCGCGGAGAAGCCCGGGCCCGAAGCGCACGGGGGCAGCGGCGGGCGTCCGGGCGGGGCCGGGGCCCACCTGAAAGCGCTTCGATGGCCTTGAGGGCCCAGCTGTCGTCCGGGCAGTCCACGAACGCGTAGCCGGTCTTCACCAGGAAGGGTCCCGACACTGGGATCTTGGCGTCCTTGAAGATACTTTCTAGGTCCGAGGGGGCGGCGTTCTCGCTCAGGTTTCCGATATACAGTTTGTTCATTGTGAGGAGTGTGGTTGTTAAAAAAATAAAAAATTAAAAAAAGGAGAAAAAGGAAAAATTAAAACCACCCACGGTGATGGATGGATGGATCCGGCGGGTTTTGTTCCCTCGTCTTCTTTCCTCTAAAACACAGTAAGAAGCAAGCACAAAAACGACAAGCGAAAAATCAGGTCCGAGGGTTCTTGTTTTTCCTGTCCTAGGTATTAAAAAAGAGAAAGAAAAAGCCTAGCTACAACCCAAACGCATCAACGAGTCTTCCTAACTCTGGGGAAGGAGGCGGGATCAGCAAGAGAAAGGAGGAGAAGGAGGGGGAAAACTACTTTTTGTCTCTTCCTCCCCAGCCCCTTTGGCATCAGGCAGCGGACTGTGAAAATATCACACTACGTGAGGCAGGCGCCGCCTCCCCATAAAAAACCCAGAAGGGCGACTGGCAGAAGGGAGGGGGAGGGAGCGAGGCGCAGGAGGCGGAAAAAATCCGCTCCGAGTGTCCGGCTTTTTGAATGAGCCACGTGTTCAAACTACAAATCAACGTCTCACGTGAGGAATCCCAGCCTCAATTAAGAGTGGGTTTCGGAGGAAAGGAAATAAATAAATAAAAGCGAGCGAGTGAGAGGAAGAGGGGGAGGGGAAATGAGATGGGGCGAGGGACCCTGAGAAAAAAAGAGAAAAAAAAATGCTAAAGCAACCACAGCCGGGGTGCAGCGGGGAGTGCATCGCGGGAAGTCAATTGTCGCCACCCGAGTTTAGAAAGGGTTAGCTATCTGGGCAGGGCGGATCCAAGGAGGGAGGGAGGGTTACAATACAGATTTCATTTATTTATCGTAAATGAAGAAGGGCATAGGGGTCCTAACTAGGCAATTCCTGTGCTCTAGCTTTATTCATTCGATTTCTAAAAATCGGTAATCGACAGTGAAACCAAAGAGTCACAATCTCGAACTCGCCTTGTGGCTTTGATGACAAGAGAAGTGTAACCCCAGCCAAGCCATGAGCACGTTTCCAAGGCTGGCAGGGACGGAAGAGCAGCGAGGGGGTGGGGTGGGGAGGGGGTGGGGTGAGGAGGGGTGGGGGCGGGTAGACGTACCCCGCCCTCGGCACCCTTCACGGGCCCCGGGCACCGGGGGATGGGGCGGCCCGCGGCCGGCGGTGGGGGAGGGGCGTCCTGGGCGGGTGTCTGCGCGACACCTCCTCCGCCTCCGCCTGCTCTCGCCATGGCTCTGGGCTTCGCGTTTGCCATTGGTTGCTCGATTCAGAAAAGGCTCCGGGATAAATGAGGCCGGGGGCGGGCTCGGCCACCGGTGGGGGATGGGAGCGCAGGGGCGGAGGTTTCTGCCATGGGGATAGGGACGTCGGGGGGCCAGGGGTAGCAGAGCAAAGGAGGCAAAGTGGGAAAAGACAATACTTAAAGGGAAACCCTCTCTTCCTGTGGTTTCTAAAGGGGGAGGGCTTGGGGTTAGGCTGGTACGTTTACTTAAATAATTTTAGTTGGAGAACTTAGGAGTCTTAAACAGGAACCACCGCTCTGCGTTAGGCTAGATGGTATTCGCACTTGAAAAACTCTTCCTAGTCTCTTTGTGCCTGCATTTGACCCTGCGAGCCATTCATAATTTTCCCTGAACGTAAGGAGTACAATGATCGGTGGGGGGAGGGTCCGGGCCTGCAAGGAGCCGTCCTAGATCAACGAAATCCCAACTGGAGACCAGGAATACGGAAACGAAGGCAGTGCTGGGGTTCTGGTCGTTTAATGGTTGTGTGCTCTACTCAAAGGCTTCTTCATGTGTGCCAGACACTTGTGGTTTATTTTTAACAGGTATTTCGTGGAAAAGATGTGAAGCGCTCATTTTTTATGAAGGGAGTTAAATTCTGTATCGCATGGAAATGTAAACAAGAACCTTTAATGACTTGGTACTCTTACTAGAGAAAATGTGACTAGAGAAGATAGGGTGATTTGCACTTGAAACATCTTCAGCAATTGACAGTTGATAGTTTGCTTCTCTTTGTCCAAACCTTATGTAGCTTTTAAAAATGTATCTTCCAGTGCAAAGATGAATGGCAGATTATTTTGAAACATGGGATTCTTACAAGCTATCAAGAGTATTAACATTTTGATTTTTTTAAAAGGAACTTACAATTTTATGTTAAGTAACCGGAAGGTGTCAGATCATCCATTTTAAATGCAACTGTTATAAGTTTTTTTTTTCCCCTGCCAAGCAAATTCAACTTCATAAACGTAAACACACTTTCACAGTATTTTCATTTACACTTAATTTCGTGAAATGTTTTTACTTTATGAGCTGGAGGACAAATGTATTCCTGTGTCAGGTTCAGAACTGTTATTATGAGCTCAACTGGAATGAACATTTGGAGGTGCAATTTCTTTTATGGTTAACTTTTTAAGTTTATCTTTCCGTGTTTTTAAAAAGAGAAACATGGTTCTAAAAAAGGAACAATACGTATTCTTCCTTATGATTTCTGTGGCATTCAGAATGTCCATATAAAATTTTATGAATTTATTTTTCAAGTACCTGTTGCATGTGATCAAAAGCTATTTGAAGAACTATGCTTTTATTCATGTTTGCTTTTCTAAAGATCACTGTAAATGTTGTAATCTCTTGATCCTTTAACTTTCAGTAACTTTTGAACCGATTTTGTATGTTCAGCTTGCTTCCAAGGTGGATTTTTTTTCTGCATTGACTACTTGCTTTTATTAAAACTGAAATCTAACGAAATAACTATTTTTAATACATGGGATAAATGTTTATCTTCCATAAATACTAGCCCATGCTTGTCTGTCACTATCAAATCCAACAGCTGGAATTTAAAACAAGTGTGTAGTGCTTTAATGAGTATGTTCCCGGGACTCTTGTGAACTTAATCTGTGTGTTATTGTAACAAACTGGATACTCTGTCTAGGACCTTCAAAACATATACGCATAACATAAACTGAGACATCAAAAAAGGGAGGTGAATACAGCCCATCCACTCCCAATCCTGTAAGCACTGAAGGGATAAGGATAGACTCAGTGCTAGTTAAAAAAAAAAAAAAACAATTTTTTTACTAGCTCTTCCGAGTGCAAAAATATCTGGTGAATTTACAAGAATGAATGAGGCTAAGGTAACTTTCTTAAGTCTAAAGGAATCTAACACAAATTAACTGAGAAGGGATACTCCAGGTTCCTTCTGAAGCAGTTGTAGTTGATTAATGTTAATGCCAGGAAAGACGGGGCTCCCACTCAACCGTTTGCTCTTTGGACAGCTGCATCTCATCTGCCGACCTGAGAAAAGTAGGAGTGTTGTGGGGTCCGCGTAATAGGAAAGGAGAAAAAGTGTGTCTGCAAGGTCGTTTCCTCTTGCAGTATCCACAGGTTGTGAGCAAAGGCTAGGTGGACAGGGGTAATGTCGTCCCTCCTCACTCCGGTCTTGAGACCTTGGTGGGCACACAATGCCCGCCGCATCGCCTGGGTGTCAGGTCGTATTTTAACACTCGCTCTCTCCAACAGCTCTGCTGGACTCTGATTCGTTTAAGCTAGAGGCGGGATCGGTGGTAACCTGCCTCTGTCCTCTCTCCAGAATCTGTCATCTATTTCTGTTTAAAATAAAAATGGTGCCCCAGGAGATGAGAAGATGGGGTTGTTTTGTTTCCTTTTCCCTCTGGCTCAGCCCAGAAAAAGAGGGCGGGATCCTCGCAGCTCACCCTGGGGAAGGTCTTCCGTGGGCCGCCTGCTCGCCTCCGAGGGTCCTGTCCTTGGGCCGCCCTGCCGCGGGACATCGGGCTCCTCCGATCCTGCGCGCGGAGCCGCGTGGCTCGGCTGGACGCGACAGTAAGGGGCGGGGGCCGCCATGGTTCCCCGCGCGGCACGACCCCACCTGAAATCCTCCATCCTCCCGCGCCAGCAGCGAGCCGGGACAGACCGGCACCGTGCGCCTAGCGACCCTTCCGCACCTCCGGCCTCAGTTTTGGGCACAGAAAAGGGTGCGCGGCGCCCGGGTGATGCTCGGTACCCACGGAGAAAGAACAAGCAGCTCTGGCCAATTCCAGTGTCTGCCTGGGGCGGGGCCGGGAGCGAGACGGGCGCGCAAAAGCGGCCCCGGGGGCGGGGCTCCGGCGCGGCTCGCGGCCGAGACCAAGTTGAGCAACCAGCGTCGAGAGAGGCACCGCCCCTGGCGAGGAGGGGGCTCCTCTCACCTGATTGGTGGAGCGAAGGAGCCAATCACCGTCGATTGCCTCCGCCGGAGCCGTTTGCTGGTTTCCGTCCATTGGCCCCCAAGACGGCCCTTGGATTTCCAGATTTTGTGGCGCGAAAATAACCCTTTGCTCCCTCGTTGGTTTAGTGGTGCTTGGGGGGTGGGACTGCGTTCCCTTTCTCATGCTCTTCGTTTCCTGCCCTTTAACTGCTCGCCCCCAGCCCCAGCCCCCTGAGGAAGGACGAGGGAGGCTCCGAGTGCGGAGCCCGCCCGCCCTCCGGGCTGACCGCGTGGTGCCCGCCGAGTCCCCTCCCTTCCCCCACCGTCCAGCGCCCCGAGGTCCTGGGTCTGCAGCAGCTGGAGTCACATCTTCTTTTCCAACGTCTTAGCATTTATACGTCTTTTTTTTTTTTTTTTTGTTAATTCAAAGCAACTACAACAAAATGTGTTTCCAGTTGCCTGCCATTCTCTGGGCTTCTAGAGAAATGGAGTCCTTCTGCCCCTCCCTTTCCAACCCTCTTTGTGGTCCACAGAGTTGTTTTAAGCAAAACCAAACAAGCCCTCCAAAAAAAAAAAAGCAAACGAAAAATTCCGGGTAAAATCAACTATTACCGAGACCACGTTTTCGTTGAACCTGCTCAAAGAGCAGTGAGGCTGAGACCTACCTTAAAGGATTAACGATTTCTGTAGCTGAAATGTAATTTTACTGACGTTTGATGGAGACGGTGAGAAAAAATAAATATGAATTTGGCTTGGAAAAAGACGAAACAAACGAAATAATCATATTTAACTTGATTCACTGAAAAGGTAAACAGTCA